TAAACTAAGCATTGAATATTTAAATTAAACAAATAATAAAGTCAGATTTATTGCTGGAAAAGGTTGTGCGAATTAATCTAGATCCAGAAGTTTAAAAGTGTTTTGCAGGTTTCCCTTACTGAAAGAAATTTTGCAATTTTCTAGTTTTAATTGGGGAATAAAGAACCCAATTTAGTTAATTCGGACAAATTTAATAATTAAAAGCGAATTGGAGGGCAGCAAAATCAGCTTTTGAGTAGAAGTCACTAGATAGATGTGGAAAAAGCTAAGAGCCTGCTTATTTAAAGACAAATAATTGGCGTTGTTACCAATATTCTTTATTGGAAGAAGATTTTACTTTGTCTGTGATAATTTGGCCCTAATTAAGCATAGAAAGTCTCCATCTACACCTCTGCTGGGGGGACAAATTTGTAAACAAATTAGTATAATTCTTCAGGGGCCACACAAAATCAGTTCAGGGGCCACAAAAGGCTCCCGGGCCACACTTTGGACACCCCTGCAGTAAATGAATCAACTCAAGATCTGCAGAAAGACAGGAAAGTTATTGTTAAAAAATTAAAGTTATTTATCTTTTTTATTAAATAAATTAAAGTTCAATAATTTTGCACAATCCTAATACCAAAGAATTAATAATAAAGTTTAGTGTCATTACATGGTAACAGCAACAAATAACATATATTGTTTTAACAGTGATTATTTTATGAGGTCGGGGTTATTAATAAAGAAAATTTATTTATTGTCAAAAATTTGAAAAGACTGCCACAGTCTTTTTGTGGTTGTTTCGGATCCAATCACGGTTCAGCTGATGGATGCGGAAATGAGTGATGATGCCGGCGAACCGGAAACTGTCAAGCTCACACAACAATACAGGAAACTACAAACACTTCTTTAAAAAATAATGTAAAATTAATCATAAAGTATTRAGTTTTAACAGAATAAACTTTTTAAGCATTTTGTTTACTTTATGAAGTAAATTTTGTTGATCTCTGTTTAAAAAACTAAATTGTGATAATGAGTGGTGAGTGTAAAATGATCATCCGTTTGTCTTATTGTGAAAATCTAAACCGGAAGTGCAGTGTAAATACAAGAAAATTGATAATAGTGTCGTCGTAGTGGTGTGAAAAGCTAGTTTTTCTTAACGAAAAAACATATACACATTTTGAAGCTACGGACATTAGATCATCTTAAGTAGATTTTTTATTAAGTTCACTTAAAAAAATGACGGAACCCGACACGTTACTGCACGTCGCTAACTTCAGCACGCTGTTTGCGTGCATGGTGCTAAAGTTCCCGCAGATCTTCGTGCTGATGCGAGCCAAACGGACCACAGGGGTCAGCCTCAACAGCCTCCTCCTGGAGCTGATCGGGTGGGTGAATCAGGGCAGCCTTTAACAAGAGGTGATTCTGTATGCTGCACAAGTGTTTTAAAGCCAGTGGAGGTGAGCTGTTGCAGATGTTGTGTGTCTCAGGTCTTCCTGTTCCTGCTTYCTGCAAAAATTCAAATCAGATTTGGATCAGATTGTGGGGCAAAACACCTCATAAACTAAAATCCTCCACCCACAGCTGCAGGCCCAACACTGTGCTGATATGTGATGGTAAATCAGTGCAGTGGATAAAGTTTTAAACCAGCTCTTATGTAAGAGGAAACAAACTGTTCTCTGTGGGGATGTGAGGGATAAAACCAGTCTTTGTTAAGCTGACTGATGCTTCAGTGTCTCCTCTGTGTGGGCAGCCTGTAACTGTACGACCCTTAACATCTGCAGCATCCACCCCGAAACAGCCACCAGTTGGCCATAACATTAAAGTCACTGACAGGTGAAGTGAAAAACRCTGATCATCTGGGAGAATTTAGACCAAAAAGCGAAGCCATGAGGCGCCACAGGACCATTCTCGAAGAGTTTTGTTGGCAGAAGATAAATCTGCAGCATTAAATAAAAAGTGCATCTTGGGTTGTGGTCGTAAAGAGACAGAAAAGCTATAAAAAAAAAACTGTTTTCTAAAGGGCACTTGTTWGGCAAAATCTGGGATGAATTACATTTAGAGTAACCAAACAACCCTGAAAGTGCCTAAAGAAACATCTTTAATTTGTCACAATCAGTGGTTAAACCTGTTATTCTGCTCTAACCAAGTTAGCGTCACTAACCCGCTAAACAAGAAACTGAAGTCCATTAATGCTAAACCACTAAACAAAATTTAAGGAAGCTAACGCGAACTGCTAAGACTGTTAGGACTGATGCAAATCTGTTGTTGGTTTTCTATTGGTTTAATTTGAAGGTGGGCGGGAYCATCTGGGGCTAATCGACCAATCCAAACTCGAGTTAGAGCTCTGTCTAACTTGTGATACCCCCCAGTTTAACCCTTAAGATATAAAAGCATTTCTTTGATCAATATTGTATATTTCAAACAACAAATAATATCTCTACCATATTTTATACTTGTAAATGGTTGTATTTGTTATTTAAATGAAGTTATTTCATTTTGAAGCTCTTAGTTTGAAGTTTAGCTGCTGAAGATGCGTGATGCTACACGTCCGACACTGCTTGTAAGAAGGAGACAGATTTTATTTAATTCAGGATAAATGGCTTAAAAATTTTAAGTTTTTACACTTGTGAAATTTTTAGTAGACTTAAAATTAATGGAGGCCAATTTAGTGGAAACTAATCGGTCTGCTAATGGTTACCAAAGTTAGCAAACAAGCTAAATGAGAACCGTAAAAATAGAACCGTTCCTACCACTGCTGCTCTGACTAAATAGGCATGGTTTATTTGAAATTTAGCATTGATTTGGTTACAAAAGAATAAATAAAACTTTCTCTGAACTACATATCGTTATCAGTTACCAAAGTTAGGAAAAAAGCTAATCTGCTAAATGAGAAGCTAGTTCTGCTATTAGAACTGTCCCCATCGCTGGTCACCATGTTGAAGTAGTGTTATTAATGCCCTTCACTAAGGAACATACTGAAAGCTCAGTTCTTCACGTTACTCTTTCCAGGTTCATTGTTTTTGTAACGTACCAGATGTACTACGATTACCCACCTCCAACGTACCTGGAGTACCCCATCCTCATCGCTCAAGGTCAGTTATCGTGTCATTACACAAACGTTTGGACCCAGAACTGTAATCAACACMGATTTAAATACGTACCTCCATGCAAAAATGTGAATAAGTTCTTTAAAATGTTTTAATGAAGTTCTTAGAAAGTAACCACTGATTAAAAAATCAACAACTGTTGGTYGTTTAGATCCTAAATTAAATTACAATCAACCATCATTGGTTACATTAAAAAATAGAAAAAGCTTGTGAAGTTCTGAAAAGTCTGAATAGTTGGAAGTGATTGTGCGTCAGTGATCCTTGAAATGAAAAGTTGAACCCAGCCTGAAGCGGCTCGGGTTATAACCTGCTTTTTGTCATCAGATGTCATTCTCCTGCTCCTGATTCTTCACTACAACGGCAGCCTGCGGCAGAGTCTCATCTACGCCGCTCTGTATCCTTTCATTCTGATTTTAATAAGATGTAAAAAAAAAAAAAAATCAATGACCCTCGAGCACTCTGAGCGTGGCGTTTCTGCCTTAACGGACTGCGTTCAGGTTGTTTGGARGCTGGAGGCTGCTCACCGTGGAGAGGTGGATCATTGATCTGGCTATGGTAATAAATCAGTTTCAAATCATTTCTGTGCGTCTCGCAGTAAAGAGTTGTCACGTCATCAGTCAGGAGCAATGCGGTGGAGGTTTGAGACCTCATTTCACCAGGTTTCACAGAGCAAAAGAACATGGCTTTAAGGCATTTGACATTTGAATAGGCGAGAGGAGGGATCCTGCAACTGAATTTAAAGTACCTGTGACATAAAGTTTTTGTAATAAATATGAATGCATTTTTGGAAAAATAATATTGATAACATGTTGCAACAAAAAAATCACACCACTGAGCTGAACAGTAGTTGAGATATTTGCATGCGAAGAAACAGGAAGTGATGTCAAAGGGGAATGTCTGAATGTAAACAACAGACTAGAGAAGAATCTGATGTTTCTTCAGATTATTTTGAGTCACTATCAGAGAGATGAAGAAAAGTCAACTCAAGTAATAATATTWCAATAAACAAAGATCAGGGAGCTTTWAAGAGTTCCCCTTTGATGTCACTTCCTGTTTCAYATTGGCTGAGCCAAGTTCAAAAGAAACTGGAGATTTTGCATTCATTGTGAAAATGCAGCTTGTTGAAAACGTCTTGCTAAAAGTTGCTGAAATCAAGTAGCTAAAAAGAGCAAAAAGAAGCGATAAGTACAAAAACAATTTTTTATTAACAGACGATGAAAGGAGAGTAAATGGCAGAAAAGCAAGAAAAGGAGTACAAAAAAGTTGCAATTTATTGTAAAATAAAAAAGGATTAAATTAACCGGGGGGAAAACTAGCTGGAAGAGCCTGTTTGCTGATTTAAAGCACTAAGAAGCTAAAAGGGAAACAAGGGTGAATATATGAAATAAAGCTAAAATTAGCTGTAAATAGTTAAAATGTAGCCAGCAGGAGGCAGCTGAAAATACCAGAAAGAAGCAGAACATAGAATAACTGAAAGACGCTAAAAGAAGCATAAAACAGTTTAAATAAGCTGAAGAATCGATGAAAGGACCCAAATGATTGATGAAAAAGCAGAAAAAAGCTAAAATTAGCAAAAAAAAGATCCCAGGAAGCTTAAATTAACCATAACAAAAGGTAAAAAGTAAAGATTTATGAACATTTTGAAGGGTTTTAAGGTTTTTGACAGCACCTTTAATTTTTATTGAGAAAAATATCTCAAAAATAAGCTGGAGTCCTGAAGCTGAATGTTTTCACACAGAAGAAAAATGGATCATCTCACAAATACACTCACCGGCCACTTTATTAGGTACACCATCTAGTAACGGGTTGGACCCCCTATTGCCTTCAGAACTGCCTCAATTCTTCGTGGCATAGATTCAACAAGGTGCTGGAAGCATTCCTCAGAGATTTTGGTCCATATTGACATGATGG